AGTAATGCAGCTGCACTTCTGCTACTACTTGCACCCCAGATCTGCGGGGGGGTGGGCTGCAGCTGCTGGCTTGAGCTGGCATTGTTCAGGGCTCTTCTCAGTGTGGGCAGGGCTTGGAGCGGGTGCCAGCAGTACTGGAATGGGCCTGCGGCTACCCCAGGTTTTGCTGCAGCTGTACTCTGCTCCCAGTGCTGCAGCTGCCTGACACAGTCCCAGCTCTTCCCGGCATATGGGTGGTTGCAGAGGGGGCTGCAACCACCCAAAATTCAGGGTGGTTGCAGCCCCCTCTGAGCCTGGTTCCCGCCTAGAAGAGCCCTGTGCAGCACCAGCTCGAGCCTACAGCTGCAGCCTGCCCTGCCCCCTGGTCCTCCTCCAGGGGGTGCAAGCAGGAGCTGCCACCCCCCTCCCCCAAACCATGGCTTTGTCCCGTGTGCCCTGACCCAGCTGGGTAGTGCAGCACCTGCCCGTGCTGCCTCATCACAGGAAGTGTTGATCTGCCCCTCTGACATCCCTTCCCTCCCCCTTTCCCTTCCCTTCCCTTCCGCCACAACAGATTTACCAGTTGGAGGCAGCTATATTGGATTGTTATTATCAAGATATGCCTCCTTAAATATCGGCTATTGGTATCGGCCCCCAAAATCTCTACTGGTACACCCCTATCCAGTACACTTCCTGAAACGCATCCTTTTTTTCTCTCCCAATTCTTTTATAATGCTGTCAGACACACGGATGTGTTCTCTCCTCTTAGTAGCTACTTAACATAGTACAGTGTAAAGCAAAGACATCAAGCTGGCTAGCATGCAGCCAGTGGGGCCTATTCAGCTGCCTCTTACTGCAGTATGGTGGGGGCTGTGCAGCCCCTGGCTGCACTGGAGTTGGGATAGCCCCAGTTTAAAATATCGTGCTCGTACGAACCTGGAACATACCTTGTGAGACTTCTGTTGGTTCACTAGAGTGTAATTTATCAAGGTTGACCATGAAAATTTTTACAAAATACTCCCAACACTTTACTAAGGCATAACTAGGGTATGGACACTGGGGAAGCTTCCCCAGTCACCAACTTTGGGAAGTTTGGGAGGATGACAGGTGTTGCTGCAGCCTCACATTTGCGCCAGCAGCATGACCACAATAGGAAGTCACTGCTGCCCGTGTGTATGGCAGCTGGTCTGGGCATCCAGTCATGTTGGTACATCTCTGCTTATCCATTACCTTTAACTAAAATGTCTAAAATACCTAAAGCTCGTGTTGACAACAAATATCATATCACTGTACCCATGTTGATTGAAGGTTACCTTATTTCTCTGTGTTAGGAAATCAATGAGACCAGAAGAAAACATGAGACTCGCCTTGTTGAGGTGGATTCTGGGCGACAAATTGAGTATGAACACAAACTGGCCCAAGCGCTTCATGAAATCAGAGAACAACACGATGCACAAGTGAAATTATATAAAGAGGAGCTTGAACAGACTTACCATGCCAAAGTGAGACTACATTTCTTCTTGCAGCCTTTTGAAACGCTTTGTTTTATCATAACAGCAACTGTTTTTAAAACAATTATTTGTTTAAAGGTTATACTGAATCTTGATAGAGAGGGAAAAATTAAAAAGAAAAAAAATCATACATTTTAAAATTCAGTATTTCTATAGGTGTATGTGTGCATATACTTTTTTCCCTGTAACTTTTCTGTAATTCCACTATCAGTTTAAAAAGGTTCCCCTCAAGCATCTTACAGCTGGTAACACTCCTTTCCCTGTCTCCATTAATGCTGCCAATGAATTTTGTAGTAGGTAAAACTCGTGTTATTTAATAAAGATAAATTGTTTGGTCTAATTGTAACAAGCCATTACTAGTAGTCACGTTAGAATTAATCTCCCTTGAAAAACTTTTAACTAAAATTTGAGATGGCTTCTTCCCCTGAGAACTAGCCCAAAAACTAGAGATTGCTGTGTTTTACTAGCTTTAAAAAAAAAAAAAA